AACTTTTTGCATTAATGAATTAATAAGTTAGGACCTTGTGCAGGATAGGCAAGCACTCTACCATTGAGCTACATTCCCAGACCTTATTTTAAAACTCTTAGTAAGTTTAAATTAATATTTAAATATTTACACAGTGAAGAAAATATGAAGAGTGTGCAGTACAATAAAGGATCCCTCTATAGATTACATGAAGAAAGATGTGCACAAAAACTGCAATTCAAAATAGCATATGTAAGAGGGGCTGGGGATGTGGCTCAAGTGGTAGTGTGCTCGCCTGGCATGTGTGCGGCCTGGGTTTGATCCTCAGCACCACATTAAATAAATAAATAAATAGTGTCTATCTACAACTAAAAAAAAAAAATAGCATATATGCTGGGCACGGTGGTGCATGCCTGTAATCTCAAAGGCTCGGGAGGCTGAGACAGGAGGATCACAAGTTTAAAGCCAGCCTCAGCCACAGCAAGGCACTAAGCAATTCAGTGAGACCCAGTCTCTAAATAAAAATACAAAATAGGGCTGGGGATGTGGCTAGTGGTGGAGTGCCCCCAAGTTCAATCCTGGTACCCTCCCCCAAAAGAAAATAGCATATGTGAGAACCACATCTTGTATTTCTTTAATTTGACGCAGAACATCATACAATAACCTTGATGCAGGTACCCAATACATTTCTGAAAATTTTATCTGCTATCTATAAATATATTTTATTTTGTAGAATATATTATGTCCAGATAACACAATCAGAAAAACATTTTAAGATAATATTTATCAAAATCATAATCATCAGTTATCAGATCTAGAAACTATAAAAATATCTATCCAATGAATAATATGCTTTGATTAATAAGACAAAAATATGAGACCATGGGGCTGAGGTTGTGACTCTGTGGTAAAGCGCTTGCCTAGCATGTGTGAGGTCCTCAGCACCACATAAAAATAAATAAATAAAATAAAGGTATTGTGTCCAACTACAACTAAAAAATAAATATTTTTTTAAAAATATGAGACAATTGTACTGTTTCAGCACTGCTTGCAATGGGATACTATGGTCATTAGGGTGTGCTATTAGCACAGCCAGCTTGTCAGTCATTCTACCAGTGTAGTCTGAAAAATGACAGAAAGCTGTTCAGTATATTTGCAGTAGTTAAACACTGAACCATACTGAAAGCCCCAGAACTTTTTTCATACTATCACAGGCGCATATCAGGAATCACAGAATCATCTCACCATTTTTTAATTTTAAAACTGTGAGTATTCAAAAAGGCTATATTATAAATGACATGGCAACAAAAAGGACCCAAAAGACTAAGCAAACATATATAGAATTCAGTATTCTAACAAAACTCACAAAAATTAGCTGTTAACTTTACTGTTATAATAATTCTGAGTTTCATTAAAGTTAGGGAAAAATGGGAATCAAATTTAAAAATAACAATAATTACTTTGTGTGTATGTGTGTGTGCGTGTTGGAGGTACTTGGGGATCAAACCCAGGGCTTCACGCATACTACGCAAGCACTCTGCCATTGAGCTCTACCTCCAGTCCTAGACTTACTTTTATAAATTTAAACTCTTTTAGTTTTTCTTATTTTACTTGTTACAATCAGTTTCAGTCTTCCCTAATGTTGTAGTCTATTTTAATCATCATCATTAAACACAAATTGACACTCAATCGATTTAAAGACAATCAGTCATATTCTCAAAATTGCAGTTATTGCTGAGTGTTTTGACACATGCCTGTAATGCCAGTGGCTCAGAAGAATCGAAAATCTGAGGCCAAGCAGTGTAAGGTGGCCCATGCCTATAATCCCAGCGGCTTGGGAGGCTGAGGCAGGAGGATCATGAGTTTAAAGCCAGCCTCGGCAAAAAGCGAGGTGCTATGCAACTCAGTGAGGCCCTTTCTCTAAATAAAATACAAAAATAGGGCTGGTGATGTGGCTCAGTTTTTGAGTGCCCCCCTGAGTTCCATCCCTGGTACCGCCCCCCCCCAAAAAAAAAGAAAATTTGAGGCCAGCTTTGTGGCAACTTAGTGAGAAACTGCCCTCCTTTTAAAATAAAAATAAAGAGGGCTGAGAATATACTCAATGGTAAAGTGCCCCTGGGTTCAATCTCCAATACAAAAAAAGAAGAAGCAAACATTTCAGAAAAATTAAAACTAAAACTTGAGGTACTTAATATATTTGGTGTGATTGCATTTCTGTCAAGTCAAAATCACCATGCAGCTGACAGGTTAAATGAGATCAAAGTCTCAGAAGATCTCAAGGATTTGGCCTGTAGTATTGTTTACTGACTGTTGTCCAAGAGTATTTATAAAAGCTGTATACCTCTATGACAGTCATTTCCCCAAATCTTACTGTATTAGTTATCTATTGTTACATGACCAGTTAGTATTTAAAGCAAAAGTAAACATTTATTTATTTTTGGTGCTGAGGATTGAACCCTAAATATTTATTTTATCACACATATTCTGAGGGTCTGGATTTTGGGAGTGGATTGACTGGGTAACTCTGCTTGGGGTATCTTACAAGGTGGCTGTGAAGATGTCAGCTGGGTTTTCAGTCATCTGAAGGCTTGACTGGGCCTAAAGTGTCTGTATTCCAAAGGATCCAGGTTCCAAGAATAGCTCACAAATATGGATAGCAAGCTGCTGCTGATTATTGGTGTGGTGTTCAGTTCTCAGAAGACCTCTCCTTGGGGTTGCTCGAATGTCCTCATAATACTCATGATATGACAGTTGGTTCCCCTCTAAGATACTTATCCAAGAGACCATAAGGCAGAAGCTACACTGTCTTTTAGGACCTACCCTTGATATTCACACACCATGAACACAACTAAATTCCTGAAAAACACTACTGGCTATATAGGTTAGCCCAATTCAGTATGGGAGGGACTACATAAGGAAACAGGAATCATTAGTGACCATATTGGAAGGTTTGCTGGCATGTTTTTCTTTTTAAGTTACATATATTATATCAAAGGAGATTCCTAAATTCTAGGACCAGATCTTGAATAATATATCACCTTGCCAATTATCTTAACAGAAAAATGTATATCTGGGGACAGACCAAAAATTCTTTTTTATATATTTATTTTTTAGTTTTAGGGACACAATATCTTTATTTTACATTTATGTGGTGCTGAGGATAGAACCCAGTGCCTCAAGCATGCTAGGCAAGCACTCCTACCACTAAGGAACAAACCCAGCACCCCCCCCCCAAATTCTTAAAATGGGAAAAACCAAAGAAAACGGGAGACTTTTATTGCTAAACATAATTTCAGTGGACATTTCCCTATAAAATTTCCCTATAAACCTTTTTAATTTAAAAGAAAAATATTTACAAAAATCTTGACCCTTTCCTGTATAAATTCTGTATCTGGCCAATACTGTGAACTATATCCTATTACACAAAGTAATGGGGAAAAAAAAGCAACTTATGGTTTTAATCAGTAGAAAGAAAACAATTTGGCAACTCCCTTATGTTTGAATAGAACAAGATGAGCTGCATCATCAATTGCCTTTAATGTACATTTTGTCCTGCTTTTGTTCAAGAATTTGGACATGATAGGGGAGGCGCCTCCTGTTTTTAGAAGAAAGTCAAGAGACAGTGGCATTTCCTGCACGAGATTAGATTCTGTAAGAACAGTTCTGAAATTTAATATAGGGTTTATATTTAACTGTTCTATATTCTTTTTCTTTTTAAATGTGGTGCTGGAGATTGAACACAGGGCCTTGTGCATGCTAGACAAGCACTCTACCAACAGAGCTAAAACCCCAGTCCTAACTTTTCTATATTCTGAATCAGCTTCAATGATAATGCACTTGATTGAAGAAAAAGATTTAAATGAAGCCTATAATTCATCGCATCCTTTCCGTTTATGGCAATTCCTGGGAGTATTTCTGATTATTAAGAAGAAAGAGCACGGGACACGGGAGGTTTAACAGACCTGTTTTGGTTCTACCACTAATTAGTTTTATAGCCTTGAGAAAGTTTTAACCTCTTGAGTTGAACTTTCTCCTCTGTAAACCGGTAGATAAAGACAGGAGAGGGGCTTAATCTTAAGGTTTTCTTTTACTAAAAGAGGAAGACACAATCAACACTAAATACAAATTTACCCCACACAACCTCATTGCTTCACCTTCCTCACTATTCTTTTGAAAGTCTTTAAGCTACTCCCGCATACTCTAGCTTAAAATTTCTTACTGGTTCCCACCGAAGTTGTTCATTGGGTTTTTAAACTTGTGATGTTTCAAGACGAGAACGGAATCTTGTTCTTTGTGGGCTGTGAAACCGCAAGGACTCTCATCTCCAATCTGACATTCCTTTGTAAATCCGTCTTCCCTCCTCCTTTCCCTGACATTCCTTTGTAAATCCGTTTACTCCTTTCCCTGGCCCTCGCTTTAGATCAGGTGGTTCTGGGGACAGCATCAATTCGCGACATTCTGGCAGCTCTGGTTCTGAGGAGGTGATGAATCCCCCAATCTTTGACAGGGCCTCAGGATTTCAAGCCCTTCCCTTCATCTGGACTGCCTCAGTGTGTATATTCGTATCATGACAAAGCACTTCCGATTTTCTTCCTCAAAGCTCAACCTTGGACCTACAACCATGCCTCTGTAACCAAGTTAACTATTGAACTAGAACACCCATTTGCGCCTACTATTAGTCTCAGAAGCCCTACGTCTCTTTTCAGGACAGGCAGGCAGTAGCGGCGGTGGCTGGAACTACGAAGCCCAGAATTCCTACGCGCATGCGCGATGCCATTGTGATGCTCCTTTCCCGGTAACTCGCCCTCTCAGGCAAACCTGAAGATAGCGGCAATTCTCCGGTGGGGGCGGAGACGCTCTCTGTCCTACTCTCCGCCCCCTTCGTGATAGGCAATGGGACCAGCCAACCGACGCTGTGGGCTCGCAACGCGATCTCCAATCAGCACCTGTGGTGGAGAGGTGGGCGTGCGCACTGGCAGGGCAGGTGTGCTAGGCTGTGCCGGGTTGCGAAGGGGGAGAATAACGTCGGGTCGGGTCAGCGGGCGCTGCAGTAGTCGCCGCAGCGGCGATGGGAGCGGTGGGGACGAGGCGGCGGCGGCGGCGGCAGGAGGAGGAGCAGAGGCTGGCACAAGAGCAGCGGCTGGGGGCGGCCACCAGCAGCAACAACAGCAGCAGCCGCCGCCGCCGCCGCCAGTAAAGGCGGACGGTACCCGAGGGGACTACCCGGCTGGCCGGCCGGCCCGCGAAGCCGCGCTCGGGTCCCGCCGCAGTGGGCGGCGGGGGATGGGCAGGCGGCGGCGGTCCCGCCTGTTGAGGGTTGGCCCCTGCCGGTCCCGGGTCTGAGCTGGACCGGAGCCCTCAACCCGAAATCCCTGCGTCCGTCACGGCCCAGGTAGGACACACCCCCTGAACCCCCAGGGTGCCGCGGGTTAGTCCTGGGTCCCGCCCTTCCCCTGTCCGGACGCCCTCCTTCGGCCGCACCCCTCGCGGAGTGACGGACCCTGGAGACCTGGAGGGGAGTACCGGAGACTTCTAGGTCGCTCCACGCCTTGGGCTTGTGCCATTCCCGTCCCTCTTCACCTCGGAGACCGTTCTGGTTCTGGCCCATTTCCTCTAGGGTTGCTACTGCGTTTCCCCTGAGGCGTTGGGTGTTTTTACTGAACTTGGAGGGTCATTAAGCTTCGTTTGTTTCTCTGAGGGTGACCCACATATCACTTGTACTCACGCCTATTTAGGTTCCAGGACGGAACACAGAGGATTGTTAGGAAATATTAGCGTTTCTCTCCTACCTTGCCTCCCCCACTATAATGGAAGGGGGCATGGGACTGTAGACTCTCTTTGCTATATTGTAACGACAAGGAAGGCCAGGACTTTCTGATACTTAGGGTGCTGAAGTAATGACCTGAGGGATTTTCTGATCATTTGATTTGATAAAGATGATGTTGATACCCTGAAATTCCGAGGGAGGGACAAAAGATTACACATATATGTACCGTCAAATTAGAGAAGTAAATAATCTGTACTGATTCCCGGATACTTTATCTTACAATGAAGTTAATTTTGTTTCAGTTGTGGCTTCATTAGAGTTAAAAATGACATTGAGTTGTACTTTGCTTTGAATTAGTTGATAGATGGCAGCAATCCTGATATTAACTCTTCTCTAACCTAGTTTTAGGAATTGTTCTTTGAACGTTAAAGAGGACAGTTTTATTATACCAGGTGTTTTGATGTGAAGAGGATTTGTTACTCAATAGAAACACCTCTCTCTCTCTCTCTCTCTCTCTCTGTGTGTGTGTGTGTGTAGGAGGGTCATGTTATGAATGGGGACATGTGTACACACACACACACAGTGTGGATCCACTCTGTTAACAATGTTTGGTTCTGAGCCATTAATAACAGTTGCATTGGTATATAAACATGGCTTTGCCAGGATAGACAACATAGATGTATCTGCTGTTTTTCTTTTGACTAAATGGATAGAATAACGTTGGGGGCGGGGTGGGGTAGGAGAAATGGGGAATAATTTTAAAGAACTGAGGGAGTTGAATGCTATGTATTGCTTCTTGGATTTTTAAAGAAGCCATAATGGTGACAAATATAACAATGTGACTAATCTTGGAGAATTTGTCTTAACTCTGTAATTTCAAATAACAAGTATTGAATACCTTGGATGATATTTGAATTGAAACATATTGGAAGGAATCTTTAATTTAGAGGCTTCTGTTTTCCTGTATGAAACATTTTTTTCAAGACACCAAAAGGGATGCTTGAAGCATGATTATAAATAAAAGTTTTTCTAATATTTTTTTCCTTTAAGATAATATTTGAAAGTGGTTTTTTTTTTTTTCAATTTTGGACACGTAAAGTCCATAGCTTCATTAATTTAATTTGTAATGTCAGCTTGAAACAAATGGGTAAGGAGCTAACTAAGAATAATATATCTTGCTCATTTTTCTCCTACTACAGTTCAGACATAATTTAGTGAATTATTTTTTTGTGTTATGGATGACTTCAGATATTTATGTCTTGATTTTCTTTTAAGTACTTCAGGAAAGCTTTATGAAGTTAGAATTCATTTGCTTTAATAAATTGAATTCAATTATGTGGAGCTTCAAATATCTTCAAATGTAATGTTACAAGCTAAACTTGTATAATTTAGACAATTTTGAGGGCATTTTACACATAAAAATGCATTAAAAATGTGATAGTGATAGTTTGTTGTTTTTTCAAAATAGTTGTTCATTTTTCAAAGATGAATTAGCTAGATCATGTAATTTAAATTTCACTTTCATGGTGGGTAGGCAATTCTTTTTTTTTTTTTTTTCCTTTTACCTATATTCAGGCAATTCTTCATATGCTCTACAGCTTTAAAAAGTACTATATAGGGCTGGGGTTGTGGCTTAGTGGTAGAGCGCTTGCCTAGCATGTGTGAGGCACTGGGTTCGATTCTTAGCACCACATATAAACAAATAAATAAATAAAGGTCCATCAATAACTAATAAAAATATTTTTTAAAAAAGTAATATATACAAATGACATCTTGATTGCAAGGACACCCTGAGTTAGAATGACCCACCTAAGACACTTTCAGATTTTTAATCCTTAGATACTGTTGTGAGATAATATTTGTAGCATAAAAAATTGTAATAAGGGGGGCTGGGGTTGTGGCTTAGTGGTAGAGCACTTGCTTAGCACTTGCGCGGCCTTGGGTTGGAGCCTCAGCACCACATAAAAATAAATAAAATAAAGGTATTGTGCCCAATTACAACTAAAAAATATATATTTAAAAAATTTGTAATAGGGAAAAATGTTTAATGACCACTATGAATTAGTGGGGTCTAGACTTAACAGCAAAACAAAAATAACCTTTGAGAATTAATGGGAAATACGGTGTACTTTCTTCACCACTTTTTTTTTGTGGTCAGTATTAGGGATTGAACCCACGTGTGTTCTACCACTGAGCTACATTCCCCAACCCTTTTTATTTTGCGATCTCTATAAATTGCCCGGCCTGGGTTCCAACTTCCTATCCTCCTGCCTCAGCTTCCCAAGTAAATGAGATTACAGGATGTGTGTCTCTGTGCCCGGACAATTTTTTTTTTTTTAATAGCGCCTATAGGGAAAAATTCATTTATAGATACGTGGTAAAATCTTTTTAATTTGAGACCATGCTGTTTACAATCTTGTGTATTTTCTATTCTTGCAGGATATCTTCGAGATATATATATATATATATATATATATATATATATATATATATATATTTTTTTTTTTAGGCTATCGTACTCCTTTTTTGTTGTTTTTAGCCACGCTTGTTGTAAACAGTAGTGATGGTAGTAACAGTTTTTCTCCTCAGGTTTCGGTGAACAGATCATTTTACACTGATAATACACAGTGCTTTTAAGTTAGATACCATACTCTATATTTAATAAAAGAGACTTTAAATTCATATGAAAAAGTTGAGTCTTTTTAGAGCTAAATTTTGGGGCAAAAGAAAAATATATATTAACTACTAAAAACAGTTTCTGTCCTCGTTAGAATTTGGTGATCTTTTAAATTGTTTTATTTACATAATGTGAATTTCTATTTTGCAAGAAAATTTCATCTTTCTAGAAGGTAATTTTTAATCAGATCTCTTGGTGCATTTTCATTTATATGACTTTAAGTTAAACATAATTATTCCTTTTGTGATTATTATTTTTCTTTCAATACTTGATTGAACCTAGTGCTTATATATTTTTGTGAACATCTTGGACTTTTTTTACCATGATTTTTTCCATTTGCATATAAGATCTTTTTGATGCTTTGGGGTTTTGTTTTGAGACAGGGTCTCACTGTGTTGCCCAGGCTTGTCTTGAACTCCTGAACTCAAGTAATCCTCTTTCCTTATCCTCCCAGGTGGCTAGGATTATAGGCACAGCCACCATGCTCATATTGCTTTGGAATATTGCTAGTTGTTTTTTAAAAAATCGTTATAGAAATTTGCTTTCACTTCAGAGTAAAAACTCCCAAAGTAAAAAATTAATTGTTCTTTGAGAAGAATTTGGAGTGTAATTAATGTCTCCTGAAGAATGAGAGATAGAAAGTAGCTGCCTGGCTCTTTTTGGTTAAGCTATCAAGATAGAACCTGGCCATGTTTTGAGAGTCAATTATTTATTTAACAGGGGATTTGTGTTTTTATTGCAAATAAGAATCAGGTGATTTTTGTTGTTGTTGTTGTTTTGCTTTTGGTACTGGGGATTCAACCCCGGGGCACTTAACCACTGAGCCACATCCCCAACCCTTTTTTGTATTTTATTTAGAGACACTGTCTTACTGAGTTGCTTAGGGTCTTGCTAAGTTGCTGAAGCTGGCTTTAAACTCTGAATCCTCTGCCTTAGCCTCCTGAGCCATTGAAAAATCAGTATTTTTTTTAATGTTTGAATTAGAATTTTTTTTGCCATTGTATCTATTTTTACTCAAATGCTTTTTTTTTTAATTTTAATATTTATTTTTTAATATTTGGCGGACACAACATCTTTGTCTGTATGTGGTGCTGAGGATCGAACCCGGGCCGCACGCATGCTAGGCGAGCGCGCTACCGCTTGAGCCACATCCCCAGCCCTCAAATGCTTTTTTAAAAAAATTTTTTGGTTGTTGATGGACCTTTATTTTATTTATTTATATGTGGTGCTGAGAATAGAACCCAGTGCCTCACACATGCTAGGCAAGCGCTCACTGCTGAGCTACAACTCCAGCCCCACCCAAATGCTTTTTATCATGAATATTTTTATATTTGTCTTTTTTCTGCCATTTTAAAGTAATTGCCTTTAAAAAAAATGAGATTGCATTGTTCCCTTTTTGTTCTAGCTATATGATCATCTAAAAACTCTATTTTGTTAATATTTGTCTGACATTTTAGTTTTTCACTTGTGTTGTATATTGTGGATTAATCTTGTACATTTCTGGTTTTTTTTCCCTCTTCCTGGTCCATCAAGTGCCTCAGTTTCTAAAATATCTCAAAATAACTTTATCAACACTTTTCAATGAATGTTATGGCAAAGATAAGAAACTAGGAAAAAATGAAATACCAAGAGAAAAACGTGAGCCATGTCTCTTGTGAAATTTGATTTTAAAAAATAATCTGGAAGCTAAATTACATAGTAACATAGTAAACTAGATTAAGACTTCATCTGCTTGACATCCGGAGCGCTTGAAAAATTTGACGTGTCCAAGACAAAAGTCAACACTCTTTTAAACTTCCTTCGTTCTATAAATAAATGTATCATTAGTCAGTCACCCAAGCTCAAAAATCTTGGTTCCTTGTTTCTCCTGGTTCTACCTACACAAAACCTCTTTTTTCCATTTCTACTGCTACCAGCTTAAATCAGCCTCTCTGACCTTTGGAACAGT